CAGTATCGCAGAAGATGAATGACATGAGGTCACAATAAGAGCTCCAAAACGCACAACTTGAAAGTTCGGCTTGCAAAATTCGATTCCTCATCTACGTGGCATGAAATCAAAAGTGTCTCACGCCACTGGTCGTCAGTCTGCATGGAGCCATGGTGCAACTTTTTTGCATTAAAACATTTAGTTTCAGTCCTAAAATATGTCTAAAAAAAACGTTTAAGAGAAAATTTATTTCTTTGTAAGTAAAGATGCAAATCTCGGATCGTCTTTTAAAAGAAGGAAAAGCATTTCACATTAGGAAACGTCTTAATTTGAATGAAGCAGCAATCCGAACTGTTAAGAATAATTAAAAAGAAATAAGAAGTACAGTTGCTGCAAGATCTTCGACATCCGCAAAACATACAGCTCTCTGTGCGGGTGCCAGTGAGAAGATGGAAAAGGCGCTCAGTATTTGAATTGATGATAGTTGTCAAAAAAGAATTCCATTGGATGATAATATTATTAAATAAAAAGCACTCAAAATTTACAGATGAAAATCTGTAAATTTTGTCATCTGTAAATCTCTGTCTGTTAAATCTGTAAATCTCTGTCAACCCAGATTTTGTGGAAATTAGAGGTTGGTTCGAAAATTTCAAAAAGCGTTTTGCCATTCATAGCATAAGAATTCAAGGGGAATCTGCATCAGTTGATTATGAAGCTGCTAGGACGTTTCCTGAAAAAATTCAAAATATTATAGAAGTGCAGGGATACACAGCAAGTTTTCAGTAGCGACGAAACTGGGCTGTGGTGAAAAAAAAAATGCCCAGTAGAACCTTTATATCGTAAAAAGGAAAAAAGGCACCTGAATTTAAGGTGCCTAAATATCGTCTAACACTACTTTTGTGCAGTAACACATCAGGGGAATTTTGTGACAAAACCCTTGTTAGTTTACAGATTTTTAATTCCTCGTGCACTTAAAGGCATACATAAAAACACCTTACTGTTATATTGGAAAGCAATTCCAAGAGCTTGGGTAACTGGAAATTTATTTAGAGATTTGTTTTGTGTCAGACATTGTATGTTATCTAAGGTAGAGAAATTTGAGTTTCAGTGCGTTATTACTATTAGATAATGTTCCATGTCACTCACAAGATTTGAATCATCCCAACTTCAAAATACTCTTCCTACCACCTAACATTATTTCTTTTCTCCAACCATTGAATCAAGTCATTTTTAGATGTAACCGATTCAAAATCAATTATTGTAATGGAAGAAATTTTCAATCAAGCATTGTATCGACATTATATCGTTGTTGCTGAAAGAATTGAAAGCATTAACGTTACATGCGTGTTGGAAGAAGATATGGCCCTCTTCAGTTGAAATAGGAAATGTGCGTGAATTGTCAGAAAATGAAATTGGTGGCATATTAGAACTTACTAAGCCAGACGAAGGTTTTCTGGATATAGCTTTTGAGGACGTTCAAGATTTATTTGTGGAAGAAGAAATTCATGATGCAGATTTGATGGAAATGCCATCCGAAGCTGTAAATCAAATCGATTCTGAGGACTCTAGCAGTGAAGAAGCTTGTGCAATTAATAATTTAACATTCAAAGAATTACAAGAAGGCCTAAGCTTAGCTGTAAATCTTGAACCATTTTTCTTGAATGCAGACCCTTCCACTGAAAGAAGTCGAAAAGTGAAAACGAAGCTGCAAAACTATCTAGCTCCATATTGAGAAATTTACAGTGACGTGGTAAGAACTAGTAAGCAAAGTGAAATTACAGATTTTTTAAAGACGGAAGAAGGTGCCAGAACTTTAAATGAAGAAAAAATTTCTGATAATGAAAGCGATCACATTCTCCCGAAAAAAGCGTTCTCGGTTAATTATACTGAGCAGAGATGACAAAGAAATTAATTAAATTAAAGTTGTGTTAAATTAATATTTTTTTATTTTGCATTGTACATACATTTCTATTTTTAATAAAAATTTAAGTTATTTATGTAGAAATAAAAAATAAAGTTTATGAAACAGCCAAATGCTGAAATTCAAGGGGAATCTGCATCAGTTGATTATGAAGCTGCTAGGACGTTTCCTGAAAAAATTCATTATTATTAACATTATTTACATTTTGAATTTCTTGCTCTTTCATTTTATGCCCTTTTCAAAAAGTTCTTTTTAAATAAGCAATATATTTTTAGAGTTTCAAGATTTAAAGGAAGTTTTAGATATTGAGCTATAAATTAATTCAGAATTCAGCACTCTCATATTGAAACCATAATATAACTAACAAAGTCAGCACTTGATTTTGCTGTTGTGTTGAAAGTTCTTGAAAAATAATCACTGCATGTTAATCAGAAAACAAGAAATTTCAAATTTCAAATAATTTCGGCTTTACAATAGGCTGCTAAATATGATAAATAATTCATTAGGGGTTGATAATCAATGCATGTGTTCTATTTTTTCAGCAGGAGGACAATAATCTCAGTAATAAGTAAGAATATTTCTGAAAGAAGTTCTGCAACTGTTTTACTAATAACGTTTTGTTGTTTTATTTTGCATTAATGTATTTAAATACTGTGTGACAGCTTTTAATTATACTGCCTTTACGATTTGTAAAATAAATTAGTTTAATGTCTGAAAATTTTCTAGAAACAATACTAACATTTGAAATTAAAAGTAATAACTGCAAGTATATTATAGAAAATTAGATGATAAGTTTAACCATGCTGTTTCAAAATATTCTAAGATTGCTATAAATTGACATCAATCACTTTAAAATGTTACCTTTAATATGTACAATATTTGCAGATCATCAATCATAGCATTCGGTGGTTTGGTTGTAACACAAATCTATGTGCTTTCGCAATCAAAATCTTTCAAATAGGAACCGAAGTGTTCCTAATCAACTAGTGTGCGAAGCATCAAACATCCATCAATCGAGCTGCCGGTGGAAAGTCTATGGAAATTCAGAAGGCACGTCGCGTTTAACATGCGACGCTAGCACCATCTATCAATTAATCAAAATAATTTCCTCACACTCTGCACCTGAACTCTGTCAAGAGTTCATATTAATCTAACAACGAACAAATTTATATCAATAAGCATTTTAACATATAATATAAAACAATTAATAAGTTATATAAATGAATAGAAATATATTCAAAACTATATCATTATACTAAATTGTAAAAATGTATGTTATCATCAAATATAATTTGATCCTACTTCAGTAAATCTAAACTATTCTTAATCTAATCATATGAAACTAAATTAGCAAAATAAACAGTTGCACAAAACATAATCAATCTTATTCATATTATTACACAATAATTTTTTTTTTTTTTTTAAAGTTCTAAAGGATATAATAATTGAACTGGTTGTTTTATTATTGTTCCATCAGCAGTTTTTATTTCACAAGAACAAACTTTGTTATCACAACCATGAAAAACGTTTATCACTCTACCGCAGTTCCACAAAAGCACTTGTTGCTTTCGATTAATACAAGATCATCAACTTCTAGATCATCATAAACATTAGCATTTTTTAATTGATGAGCTGTATGAAGATCCATCAAATATTGTTTTTTCCATTTAGTCCACAATTGTCTAACCAATAAATCTTGATAAATCTTTCTTTTGGTCAGAGAGGACTTGGTAGAGCCATCTTTAACAATGGAGTTAAAGTTGATAGGTAATGTAGAATCTTTGTTTTCAAAAATAAAAAAATTGACTGGCTTCAGTGACAACGGTTCCTTTTGGTCATTGTATACATATGTCAAAGGAGGAGAATTCTAAACAGCTTCCACTTGTGCTAAAACTGTTGACGATTCTTCAAACGTTAGTAAAGCTGTACCGAGAATTTTTCTGAAGCACTCTTTCACTGATTTCACTAATCTCTCGTAGAAGCCTTTCCACCAAGCCCCTCGTTCTATTATAAACTTCCAACTGATTCTTTCATTCGACAGAAAATCTTGGAATTTCTCATTCAACAGTAGTTTAGAGAAATTTCCGAGTATCTTTTTTCCCTTTTTAAAAGTTTTTTCGTTGTCTGAATAAATTACTTGACAATTGCCTCTTCTAGATGTGAATCTTTTGAATGCGATCAAGAACGAATTTGTAGAGAGATTCGGTACAAGTTCCAGATGTATGGCACTAGTGATAGCGCAAGTAACATAGGCTTTTTGACTTCCTTTGATGTTTTTTATGTAAATCGGTCGAGCAAAATCGATGCCAGACATGTAAAATGGTGGTGTCTCATTAATTCTATCTTCTGGAAGTTGAGAAGTGGTCTGGTCAGCAGATTTTAATGAATATTTTGTACAAATAAGACACTTGTTTATTATTTTCTTGACAAATTGGCATCCTTGTGGGATCCAAACACGACTTTGAATTTCAGCTAAGGTCGTTGCTACTCCTTCATACATCATTTTAACACGTGCACTTTCTACTATCAAATTTGTTAGCCAGGAGTCTTTTGAAAGAATTGCCGGATGTTTTTCATCATGTGACAAACTAGAATGTTCTAATCTTCCACCTGCTCTCAGTATCTCATTCTGGTCTAAAAATGGATTAAAAAGATATAAAGATGATTTCTTTTCAACTTTATTCGTTTTCTTCAGAGGCTCGATTTCTTTGGGATAAAAACGTTCTTGTTCAGATCAAATACAATAACTTTCGGCATCTACTATTTCTTCAATTCTTGATGGACCTGTCAAATGGTTTGTTTTTCTAATTTTACCGATGAATCGCTTCATCCAACCAGTTATTCTTAACAGTTTTCTTAAATGACTATATTTTGAGATGTCTATTACCCTTTCTTCAACTGCCGTGCACACAATTTCATTAATGTTCTTGCGGTATTCTAATTCTTCTTCAATGACAGGGTTCCCTTCATTCTGTCCAGGCCACAACTCAGTTGACATGCTAAGCCATTCTGGTCCTTGAAACCAGGTAGGATTGTTTTTCAACTCATGAAATTTAGCTCCTCTCGCAGCCATATCAGCGGGATTACATTTACCATAGCAATAATGACAATTTTCTGGGGATGCTAAATTTTGTATTTCATGAATACAATTTTTAACGAAAAGCTTAAATTTCTGTGCACAGTCTTTTATCCAGAAAAGTGTGATTTTCGAATTAGTCCAGAAAAACAAGAAAGTTGTAACTTCAAAACTTCAATGATGCTAGTGCCTAATTTGGCTGACAAAAGAGCTCCCATTAGTTCCAACCTAGGTAAGGTAAGCAGTTTTAAAGGCGCTACTGTAGTCTTTGAGGCAACAAAAATCATAAATATTTGTTCATTGCTAGAAATTATACGCAGATACGCTACTGTACTATATGCCTTTTTGCTAGTGTCAGAAAAACAGTGCAGCTCAATTTTTTCCACATCACTATTACCGATTGCAGGAAAATAATATCGTGGAATACTGATTTCACCTAAATCGGAAACTTCTTTGCACCCATTTTTTCCATACATAAATCTTCTGGTAGTTCATCATCGTAATCTAAAGCAGGTGTCCAAATTTTTTGCAATATGATTTTGACTCAAAGTACAAATGGTGATAATAGACCTACAGGATCAAAAATTCGTCCTATTGCTTGTAAGACAAAACGTTTAGTATTAACTTGTTTTGATAGAAATGTTATCAAATTTTTTACATCAAAGTAAATTATGTCACTTTGGTTGTCACAAGCGGCTCCTAACACTTTCAATGGAGGATTTCTGGCTTCCGAAACATGACTAGATTCCTCAGATTCATTACCTTCTGTAATCCATAATTCACGCAGTTCTTGAGACTTGGTGTGCCATTTATGTAGAATCATACTAGCATCTCTAAAAATGCTAATGCATTCTAAGCTGGTATTGAAAGCAAGTTCAATGTTTTGGTGACCTCCAACGATGTCATCTACATAAATGTGATCATTTAGGAATTTGCAAGTGGCAGGGTAGGTTTTCTCATATTGTTTCAAATGGTGTTTAATGGTTGTAGCCAGTAAAAATGGACTTCTATGTACGGCAAATAACACGAGTGAACCGTTAAGTGGTAATGGATTTTTAGTAGACAGAAAACGCGTTACATCTCTGTCTTTCTCATCTACTTCTATCTGAAGAAAAAAAGCCTGCTTTATATCACTTGTAAATGCTTACAGGATGAAGCCTGAAGGCCAACAGAAGTTTAAGAATGTCAGGATACAAATTTGGACCAATATGCAGTCATTTAATGAGATTTCACCAAGCAGTCATTCAACGAGAATTTCACCAGGTCCATGTGATGACACATCGAATATGATGCGTAGTTTACTAGTAGTTTGATCACTACGAACGATTTCTCTGTGAGGGCAAATAAATGTGATTTGAGATTCACTATCAACAGTGTCTGGAACTAGTTCAATGATGTTTTGTTGTAAATAATCTTGTAGAACTGTTTGGTACGAATAAAAAAGTTTGGGGTTATTCTGAAATCGCTTTATTAAGTTTTTCAAGTAAGTAAGGCTGTGGAATTATACTTTGTACCCTTAGTGTAACCTATCAGAAACCAACTGAATAATGTTTCAGCAGCTACTAAATGTTTGTTTAAACACTTAAGTTTCCCAGTCACTATATCATAATAATGATCAGCTCCTATCAAAAGAGTAATTTTTTCTTTGCAATCCTAAGATTCTGTGAGTTGTAAACCTTCTAAATGTTTGCCTAAAATGTGTCAATTGAGATTAGGAGGTGGTAAATCAGAACTTAAAATTTGATCAGTCACGAGAGCTTCAATTTCGATTTTCAAATTCGGTGTTTCTTGTTCTGTAATTTTATCTTAACAATGGCAAATGTTTTTCTAATGGGTGTTTTATTTCCAAACGTAAATACTGAAAGAATCTCTGTTAGAGTAACAGGAAGCTTCAATTTCTGCGCGATTTCTTTTCTCAGGAAGGAATGCATACTACCTGAATCTAGCAGAGCTCTAATTAAAATCGTTTGCGTAGTTGTTTGAAGTGTTACGCAACACATTTTAAGTGAAATAGTTTTAATTTTGCTGCGAGAGAATGCTGAAAGAACATGCGAATCTTCCATACTTTTATTTTTTTCATTTAGTTCTTTCTCAGTGCGAAAACATATTGAATGGTTATGTTGACCTTTGCACTTGGAGCAGATGAGATCGCTTTTACATAGCTTCATGTGGTGATTCAATTTAAGACAAAGGAAACATCTTGCTTGCCTACGTAATAAATTTCTCTTCTCATCAACTGTCAATGATTCACAGTCTTCAGTAACATGTTTGGATGTATTACAAAACAGACACCGATTAGTAGTTTTGTTTTGTTTAAGAGCTGGTAAGTGGAATGGGTGATACTCCCCTTCCCTCCCTTTATAAATACAGGAAGTGCTTTCTGATTTATGAGTGGAGAGCAAAAGATGGCTTCTCTCATGACTTTCCAGTTCTGCACGAACAAACTGCAATAATTCGTCAACATTAAAAAAAGATGATGAATCTGTTTTATGATTGAGTTCTAAGGTTATATCAGTTGGCAGAGTTTTCATTATGGCCAGAATCAACATATAACTGTATTTATCCGGCGTGACTTCATATGATTTCAAGCTGCGTATTTGAGTTTCTATAGTATCACAAAGTTTGCGAAGTTTTAAAGTGTCACTGGATTGGTTACTAGGGTAAGATTCAAGAGTTTTTGCATGTGTTTTTAAGTATTTCAATAATTTCATCGTAATTTGGTTCCAAAATACAAAAACCGTCTATCGAGTTTGCAGCATTGGCACATAAGCACAATTTTAAATAATTAAAGTTTTCGATCTTAGTTAAAGATTCATTATCATGGATTGCTACTTTGAAAGAGTTCCAAAAACTTGTCCACTGGGTATAATATCCATAGAATCTAGCAACGGTCAATTTTGGGAAACGTGTACATTTATTCCTTTCGATTATAGAATTAGTTTCGTTAAGAGAGTTTTCATTATCCAAATTTGTTACTTTATTTGATTCTTTCAATTTTTTATTTGCTCTGAATTGCCACAACTGAATTTTCTCTTCATATCTGATACAAGATAGAATTTCTGTTTCAAACTCTTCTACCTCTAATTTCAAGTCTTGCTCTATCTGAGCATCTAACTCACTCAGAGCTTTCGATTTTGTGATTAATTGGTCTAAACTTTCTTCTAATGTATTTGTATCAATTTCTTCTTTATTCAACTCCGATTTGATTTTTTTTTAGAACTCTTGGACACAGGTGGTCCTGATAACTTTGCCTTTTCGATTTTAATTTAACCAACAGACTCTTTCCGCACCATTGTTGCATTTACAAAATAGAAAATTTAGTCTTACCTTTTGCTGTCTTCGCACACTTGCAATGTGCTAAATACAATTCTTTACAGCCTTATGCACCAGCTGTTTCAAAATATTCTAAGATTGCTATAAATCGACATCAGTCACTTTAAAATGTAACCTTTGATATGTACAATATTTACAGATCATCAATCATAGCATTCGGTTATAAGACAAATCTATGTGCTTTTGCAATCGAAATCTTTCAACTAGGAACCAAACTGTTCCTAGTCAACTAGTGTGAGAAGCATCAAACATCCATCTATCACGCTGCTGGTGGAGAGTCTATGGAAATTCAGAAGATACGTCGTGTTGCGTTGTACATGCTACACTAGCACCATCTATCAATTAATCAAAATAATTTCTACATATGCTAACACTGTATTAAATGAAAGAAATATTCTTATTTTTCAGAAAAGGCAAGAAGCTTTGGAAGCAGAACGAAAACAAAAAGAGAAAGAAGAAGAGGAAGCAAAATTGAAGGTATTATTATTTTTTTGTATTTTATATTTGCATTTATTTTATTATTTTAAATGGCCATTTTATTTTTGAAAATTTACCAGTAATTTCTTTCTGGTACTTCAAAGCATCTCTGATATGTCAAATTGTAACGAATTCCAGTAGTAGTTGTTGTGATGTTAAATTAGATTTTGCTTGTATGCTAGGAAGTCTGTTTATCGTGTAATTGGAGCTATATAGGAAGAGTGATTTAGACAAGTTAAATACCTAGTAGTTTCAGATTTATGGATGCCATTCAGTTCCAGTTGTGACTGAAGACTTTGTAATGCCGAAGCAGTTAATTGTAAATGGCTGAGCATTTAGGCTGTATGGAGAGATGCCCTTTGTAGTAACTATATATATATGTTATACATGATAAAATCGTGAAAATTTCTTCATAATCACTTATGTTTATTCCAGGGATTCAATTATGAGCAAATATACCCTCAAAATATCACTGATTGATCCCAAGAAATTAAATATTTATTGCTTATGTCAATCTTCTGCTTTGAATAAAAATTGATACTCTAAATTTATTTAAAGTGCTGGGTGAGGCAGAGCAGTTTGCTTATTTTGAAATTCAATAAAAGAAAAAGTAATGATATATATATTTAATTCTTTGAACAGCATCAAGTACAACATTTAAAGTTGGTAGAGACATTAGGTATTTTTGGAAGCAGGCAAGATGAAAAAATTAGCAACCCCCCCCCCCCCGGAATCGAAACACGGACCTCCCAATTATGCGCTGAGTGTGCTGACCTCTACACCATGAAAGCTTGCTAAGAAGGTAGGAGAAATACCTTATAAGTTTATGTTCACACTTTTAAAAATAATATCGGGCAAATGGCATCCATTATTGTCAACACACAGTATTAATTGAACTCTGAAGTTTGTTCAACTCTTTCCAGCATATTGACAGGTATGCTGGCTATAGCGTGATGAAAGTTGCATTTCAAGTGAGCCAGTGTGTTAGGATGATTGTTGTAAACAGGTGATTTTAGATAGCCCATAGAAAAAAATCACAGGGAGCTAAATCAGGCGATTGTGTTGGGAGACGTTCTGGGAAATGTTACCACAAAACATTCATTGGCACACAAGCTGTGTGTGCTGCAGGAACCATACATCTCCCATATTCACCTCGTTGAGTTTTGATGAGAATTCCTCAATCATATGTATATAATGATCAGAAGTCACTGAAACGGTCAGTTCATTTTCTTCAAAAAACCCTAGTCCAATTATTTTAACTCACGATATTGCACACCAAACAATTACACGTTCTAGTGTCTAGCATTATCTAGTGGTTTGAGCACTCCAATAGCACATGTTCTCCTTATTTATCGATTCTGAAACATATCAATGGGCTTCATCCTGCACACATCCCAATTTGTAAGGATGAAATTTCAGCAGTTTAGGAAGGATTTGCCTCACAGATCAAGCAGACAACCCAACAGTAACAGCATGTTTCCGAGCAGAGCGCTTAGGAGATCACAAAACCGAAAACCTTACCATATCTATGTTTTGTGGTGACCTTGCTGTTTATTGAAGCCCAGGTTTCTCTTTCTTCACATCAACAGTTTCCCTAAAGTTGTTTACCCACAAAACAATCCATTGCTGACCAGGAACACGAACCACAGGGCACAATATTGAAATGAGCATGGAACGGGTATTGCATGGCAATGATTGAGTGACCATTACAAAAGTATGCAGCAAACATCCGCTCCTCCTTTGACCACTCCATGATGCTAAATGAACCTAATGGGCTGAAATTTTATGGCCTGGTATCTCGAATGTACTACACCCACCTTTTTCGAAGCAAACATTGCTCTAAGGCACCAAATTTAAATAAGCAAATGCAACATTCGCCAACATACCCATCAGTATGCTGGAAAGAGTTGAACAAAACTTCAGAGTTTGTTTAACGCAGTGTGCTGACAATAATGGATGACATCTGTCTAATATGCTTAAAAGAATGAACATAAACATGTTGTTCTTGATGCTGTTCAGAGAATTAAATATATATATACATTACTTTTTCTTTTATTGAATTTCAAAATAAGCAAACTGCTCTGCCTCACCCTGTATATGTTTTAAAATCTTCACTTCTATAACTGAAATATTTTACCATTTAATGCTCTATCCTAACATTTTAAAAGATATAAAATGAAGTTTTATAAAAATTGATTTGTATTTAAAAATATAAAACAATATAAAACATTACGTATTATCAATTTTCGTAGTTTACTGTCACCTGGCATATGATTTTTTTATTTTGTTACTGAAATCACTTTTCTTTTTTACAGTACTTGCTTAATTGTGTAACTTATTTAAAGTTCTCTACTTCCTTTGATTTAACAAGCTATGCAAATATGTGCACACTGCTTTACAATTTACATGCAGTTACGAGCATATTTTATTTTAAGTGAAACGTTTATTTTGATTTCTGTAGCGAGAAAAAGAGAAAAAAGAAAAAGAGGCTATTAAGAAACAGCAGAAAAAAGAAAAAAAATTATTACAGCAGATCTGTGAACAAAATAATTATTTTGCTGCTGATGAAGAAGAAAAGATTTCACACTTAAAGGAAGTGGATAAATTGTGTAATCTCTTATCATTACAACAGTAAGTTGATTTTTTATAATACATCTTTATTTTGAACTAATTTCTTAATAAAAATTGTGTAATTTAATTTTTTTTAAACTGAAAAATTTTATATTCCTTTTAATTGCAGCTTCTTCTTCTGAATTGTTTTTACACCTTAGACAAATTTTTTAAAATAAAAGTGAAATATATAAAAATGAATACAAAAGCATTTCATTTCTATGTGTTACATGGTAAAATGCTGCTTTAATAAATTTTGATTATTTGAGTGAGGAAATTTAGTGGGGAAAAAGTGAGAGCGACTTAAGTGTTTTAAAGAGCATATTTAGATAAGTTCTTTAGAATACTTCTGTTTTCAAGGGCAGACCAGCTTTATCAACGTATCCGGATTCACAGTATCTGGATTCACAGCTACTTGAACTAATGTAATAAATTAACACAAATATTTTACTGTTCAGAAACATGTAAAAAATACAAACATAGTTGACCATTACAATATTTAGAATTAAACTCTCCTCATTGTCAACTTATTAAAAAAAAAAAACTTTAAAAGTATACAGTATTGCTATTTATTGGCTGATGATTGTTTATTTTTTTTTTTTAAACTTTCTTATATATACAGGATGATCTAAAAATATCAAGCTTTAAAAAAAGTTTCCCACCCCTGCAAATATTGCCTGCACAAACGGTTCATGCTGGTGTGTTTAATCATATTTTGCCAAACGATTTTTGGCATTTGAAAGAAAGAGACTTGCTTGTACAATTTGTAAAAAAATATTGCTATCATTAAGTACAAGGTGTCTGAAATAGAACTATTACTCTACCAGATTAAAACTATCACTTACATCCAGCTTTGATGCAAAATATTAGCTACAGAATATCACCAAATCATGTGTACAGCATTAGGTACTAATGTTGTATCATATGGCTCTGTGAAGGTTTAGTACTGAAAGCTCAAAAACAAGGACTATGACATTCAAGAAGCAGAGCACTCTGGCCGCTGGGCCTACTGATGTTGATGAGGCCCATCTGCGAGAACTCGTGGAAGAAGATCAGTATGCAACCACTAGAAAGCTTGGTAAGGAGTTAGACGTTAGTGCCATGTCCATTAGTCATGCTGTGCATCGCATAAACTTGATGTAAAAGTTTAATCGCTGGGTGCAGCATGAGCTAATTCAAGCAGATAAGGACAGACGTGTTCGGGCCTAGACTAATCTGCTCGAATATCAACGCAAAGACAAAAATTCTGAAGAGGATCATCACTTGTAATGAAACATGGATTTACTTCAACAACACAGGCTAAAAAAGGGAGTTGGTCTGCACCTGGTGAGTCCGTTAGCAGCGTCGCAAAGTGCAGTTTGACTAACAAAAAGACCACGCTTTTGTGTCTGTTGTCATATTATTCACAAAGAGTATCTGGAAATAGGTAAAACCCTCAACAGTAAGGTTTACAGCAAGATGCTAGTCTGTGTTGATGCTGCTATCAAGGAAAAATGTGGAATTGAGTTCCAGTGCAAAAAGTTAACATTCCAGCAAGATAATCAAGACCACATGGGTCTGCATTCACAGGTTGACTCTGTACGGGCTCGAATGGATCTTTTGACACACCTACTACATAGCACTTGACATCACTCCTTCGGACATCCACCTTTTTTAACACTCGCAGCTGCATCCTGCTGGTGCTAACTTTCATTCTGCACAGGACGTCCGAAATGAGGTTGATCTGGTTTTTGGACTTCTAGCCACCAAGTTTTCGGGCCAAAGGCTTTGAAAAGCTACCAAAATGTTGGCAGAAAATAGTAGATTTGAGTGGTGCTTATTACCTGCACTAAAGGTGTGCTTTCGTGTCCCCCCCCAACTTTATTAAGAATGCTTTTTTGGTGAAAAATTTTTATATTACAACCAGATATAAAGGCAGATAGAGAGTACCTTAATAGGCAGGTTTTGGAATGGAATATGAGTGCTTGGATGGCATGTATAGATGGTATTGGGTGCTTTTGAGTTAGAGGTAAAAACAGCATACTCTGGTAAATTTTCAGCCTTCCAGTGTTAGAATGTGCAGCATAAACACATGAACATAGATCTTGACACATGTTTTATCTGTTTGGCTGCAGACAGAAACAAAGCGTTTGCTCAAAGGGGGTATTGGAAATTATTTCTACCTCCTTTGAGTGGCTGCTCCATTTCAATCGTAACCCGATAGAAAAAAATGCAAGTTGGTGAGCTGTGCATTGGCATAGGTGTAACAGTGATGATAATGCTCAAAATCTAAATAGGGAAAATATATTCACACTTTTAGCAAGGCACAGGCTAAGAAGCAAATTTAAAAATTGATCATGTTTTATGTGATAAAGTAGTAGCAGTATAATTGCTTGTATGAGAAGTTATATACCAAAACTTGTGCAACATTTGAAACATAAGATCCCGTGATTTCAAGTGCATCAAACTGTGAAGAAAGGTAGTAGGAGAATATATATGAAGTTGTACAAATTGACAAGATTCTCAAGGGAAAAAAATATGATGTCAGGAAAAGGTGACTGAAAAATGGAAGAAGCTCAGAACATTAATATGCCTATCCATTGCCTGCGAATTTTTTAATTTATTATGAAAACGGATCTTAATCTATTATATGTGAAATCCAATAAGGCTTTGGAGGGTGGATTTATATGTTTGAGCTGTATCTTTTTTTGCTATTATTTTAATAATTTTTTAGTCTTATCCTCTTAACAGTCTTATCCTCTTAACATAAGTAAAAAATTGCAAGTTCAATCACACGAAGTCATTATTTCTGCACTTGCATAGAATCATTGCATATATGCAGATACAATTCATGAAGCAGTTTGACTTTTTATTTTTGCTTGGATACTTACAAATTTTTATGTGACATACTGTTCTGTATCATTTTCTCACAGATAATGAATTCAAATTCAAATGTTTGGATCATTTATTCATGAAATTTCATAATTTTATGCTTAAACTCATTTGGAACATATTGTACCACTTTTGTCTTATGGTACTGTGACAAACTATTTCTGTGTGTGTGTGTGTGTGTGGGGAAACTGGCATATTTTTGCTTTGCACTAACTTAAAAATATGTTTTGCTTATCTCTGATCTATATCTATCTATCTATACATGGCAGTAATAATAACCAAATTAATTAACAAATGACACTTTAATGAAGACAAATGATGGTAACATTTAGGTTTTAACATTTAGAAGAAAAAGTAAGTATTTATAGTTCATCATGACATTTGGCAAAAGAGGCATCTCTGCTTCTGCACATGTTACTTATCTCACATTTAAAAGGTGCTTCTTCTGATTTATCGCTTTTGGAGCTCGTAATAAAGAGGATGACGTCACTTCTGGATTTCGTCATGGCTTCAAGCAACCGGCATCTCAATCTTGGCCATCCTAGAATGGACTGGTCCTCCAGAACACTTCAGAATACAGCAAAAACAAACAAAGCAGCAAGCAAGAGTATACAATAATAGAATAAGTGTTCGTGAAAAAAATTTAAAGTGGCATCCATTTCTTGAGGAATTTGGCAAATATGGTGGTGCACATTGGTCTCTCATGGCACCTTTCCTTTACTACGTCACCCTTAATTGTCATGATCTTAAAAGGTTCGAAATACTTGGTTCTTAATTTTCAGTGTGGTCCAAATTGAGGCCTTTCGATTGCTACTGAGTCACCAACTTTGTACGGCTGTGCTTCTCTTGTCATTGTATGTTTTTTTATTTTCTGTTGGACATGAAAAATTTATCTCTTGGCTTGATTTTGAAATTCTTCTCTTTAAGACTTGAATTCAGATTCAAATTCACTTTCTATGAGTTCTTTGAGTTGATTGGTGCCCTTACTGTTCATTTTGATACTGAAGAGTAATCCAAATGAAGAGGTGTCAATGCTTCTCTAATATGTTAGGTTAAGAGGGCTGCCCAGATGGTATAGTAGTTAGGGGAGCAGACTGAGATACCAAAGGGCAGGGGTTCAAACCCCTTAAGAAGGTATACATGTAAAATGTCTCTCACCTCAAAGGAGGTAACGGTGGCCACCTATCAGGTGCATCCATAATAAAATGACTTCCACTTCTGGCTTTAGGAGTAGCCAGTGCTAGAAAAGCCAATGCCCGCCTTTTGATTTTAAAAAAGAAAAAATGTTACGCATTCCCTGAACCTCATGTGTATGTTTATACCATTCAGCTGGGTTTTTTAAGGGCAGTTTTCCTAAGATTGATATGATGATTTGATTAATTTGCTCGACCTTGTCCATTTGCCCTTGGCAAACTGGTGGTAATTAGATGATGCTTGATGTCTTCTTAAGCACAGTAGTCTGAAAACTCATTGGAAGTAAAAGCCGTTCCTCTATCACAAATAATCTGACAAAGGCTTCCAGAAATTGCCTTCTGATTCTCTAACTTGGCTATCACCTCAGCTGAGGTCAGAGATTTTGTTGGATAAATCCAATTAAATTTAGTAAATGCATCAGCCACTAATAATATGTGCTCAGGGTTCGTAGCGGTCCTTATAAGTGCTTATAAGTCCTTATATTTGAAAATAAAATATAAAGGCCCTTATAGGTGCTTACTCTTTCTTTAAAGCCCTTATTTTTTTGTTTTTAGTGCTTATTTTTTGCTTTTAGTGCTTTTTTTTTTTTTTTTTTTTTAATGAACGCACTATTTTTCCTGGTACCAAAGCCGAAACTAAATAAACAACTTTTCTTCCTAATATGGAATGTCAGATGGGGGGAATCATACTCCCGGAAATAGCTTTTCCCCTTTCTCTGCATTAACATAACCTTTGGTGTGCACGAAGAGTACAGACAGGTTCCCGTCGTTCTATTGGTCAAAGAAATGCGAAAGCACTAGAAAATCCCGGTACATACGGCATTCTTTTCCTCCCACCCAAATACTACACATGTTTGAATTTCTATCAAGATCTTAATAATTTGCATTCTCGTTCCGCTTGGTCAGTTCATATTAGCGTTTATTATGATCGTTATGCTTATATTATGAGCATATGTA